TGTTATAAAAGCTTGAATACCTACATTATAGTACAGGTATCTCATAAGTACTTTTCTTATAGTTATCCAAACAAATAAAAAACCAAATCAACATTGTTCTAAATATTGTTTCAAATATTGTTGAAATTGAATAGGTATCCAAATGTAAAATAAAGATATTTCTTTAAGTAATTTTAGTTATTTTATTGTAATTTAAAAAATATTTACCGTAGGTACTTAAAATGTTTCATTACTATATATTATATTATTATTTTCTATGCAGAATGATACTTACAAAGTATTTAGAATAGTTTTATATATATTTATACCATAATCTTATTCTCATAACTATATAGTGTGTATCAACCTAATATGTTATGATTTTATTAATAAATTAGTTCAACCAACCTAACCTAACCTAACCATATTACCAATTGAAAAATAAATTACTTATGGTAATATCAATAACCTTAGAATTAGAGGCTGACATACTGTCTCTGCTCAGAATTGTTTTTTGTGTACAAAGATTTATCATTTAATTATAATTTAATATATCCATTTCAATGCCCTCCTCATTGATGAGATATACTCAAAATAAAGAATCTATAAAGCAATGATTTAATTATTTTTTAAATTAAATTAAAATATAATAGCACAATAAACTTATTTTAGTTAATATCATTATATTTTTCAGAAGACAAATAAAAGTCTTCACTTTCTAGTTATTTATATTTAACAAACAGAAATAATTAAGAAGTTTTAAAATATATTATGAACATACATTTTTATAAACAATTTTTCAAAGTAAACATGATTACTGTCTAATTTTACTGGTATAAAAATCTAAAAACTGCAGGAATGACACTTCTACACTTTCTTCCCAATAAATACTATGAGTTTACCTAATCAATAACTATGGTTTATTTCAATTTTAAAATAAAATTAATATGATTACTAATTAATTATTATTATTTAATTTTTATGTCTAACAATTACCCACACACCCACATTATATTTTGATCGATTGACTGCTCGTTGGTATACATAGTATTATACTGTATACCATTATACCCTCCCACCACAAACTGAGCAAGAAAAGGCAACATTCCTACACAAGGAAACATAGAGAAATATAGAATTTTTTAATTCAGTGCATAATATGAAGTCTAATAAATTGATAATGGTATTTATATTTTTAAATAAATTACATAAAAAAGACATTGACAATATTTAGAGTGCATTTCAGTATTATTTACTTATAAGTCATTTTTAATTGATAATAAACAAAATATATATATATATATATATATATATATATTTAATAGCCCATACTAAGTTATTTATAATAACAATGAGACACAATGGTACATACTGAAGACATTTTTAAAATATAGTTTAAAGGATCAATTATTTATAATACTATACATACATTTTTTATCAGCATAGCGTGAATTGCTAAGATCTTGAAGTAATGTGTCAAGTTCCGAAAGATTATTATTCAATGAAGATGTCATTTTTGATGATTTAAATTCGTTTCTAGGTTGTGTTGGCTAAAAGAAAATACACTAATATTAATAAATTGTCTACTAATATTTATAAAACAAAAATTCGCTTAAAATATTTTTTATTGATGAGTATTAACTCAGGAATGTTACTTAGATAATTGTTTCTAAATATAAGACAAACAAAATATATCAAAGTATTTTATATGCAGGCTTATTAGAAAATATACGAGGTAATTCACAAAACAAGTCCACTTTCATTATTTTTCTTTTAAATTATGATTTTTGTAATTCTTAAGTTAATTTCTAAGGATCATATTTGAAAAGCTTTTATTTTTTAATACTGTTTAAGGAGTGTCCTGTGGTGATAATAACTTTTTTTTTCAAATGAGAACTAAACATTTTTTTCTGTAAATTGTCAAGCCAATTATTTTTTTGAAAATCTTAATGAATCTAAATTGAAATTTGAATGAGTAGTTAGAAGTGCTTAGCAGTAAAAATAATAGATCCATGATAATAAGTTTGGAAGATGTGGAGGCTATAGTTATACTTGAAAATGTACCTATAGTAATTAGTAATTAGTAATTAATATAAATCTATTAACATTTTATTATTTGTAAAAACTGTCAGAGTATAATAAACACTAGATTATAGGTGTATTACATCTATTTCATGTTTTTGTAAAACTATTTTTACTATCCTAATGGCCGATTTCACCAACACAGTTAATCACGGTTAACGCTTAATCGGCTGATAACAGATATTTAACCGGCCAAATTCGGCCGATTAAAACTCCGGTTAACCTTAACCGTGATTAACTGTGTTGGTGAAATCGGCCCTAAGTTAATAATAACTCAGAAACTTGCATTCAAATTTTTATTTAAATACCTTAACATTTAAAAAAATATTCATCTGTTTAACAATTTACAAAAGAAAAGTTTGGTTCTCATTTAAAAAAAGACGTTGGTAATGCTACAGTACACTCCTTATTAAAATTTAATGTTATAAAAAAATTGAATAATTTAAAAATATGGTCTTTAAATGTATTTTAAAAGTTCCAAATCCATAATTTGAAAATTTTAATTATTAAAGAAAAAATGGGAGTGAAGTGCTTGATGAATCATCCTGTTTAATATTATGGTTTCTAAATAAAATTGAAAAATATTTGTACTAAAAATTTAATTGAACCATAATTAACTGCAATATGTACCCCAACCCCAAGTTCATGAAAAGTGTGCATACCGATAATTCTTGCCGAACAGCAGGGTTTGAAGTTGACCTTTCAATCTTGTGAGATCGGACCGTGGCATATTCTGGTGCTAGTGCAACCGGTGAACCAGCAGAAGCTAATCGAGAGCGAACCCCACCATTAATACTTCCGTATCCTCCGTTGACGCCACTGTTTAATTTGTTGGTCTGCTGTATTGTGCTTTGCAGGTCCGCGAGCAATGCATCTAAACGAAATTAAAAAAATTTTATATAATATTAAATAATAAATTAAACGATAATGTTTGAACATATTATATTGGAAATTAAATATTATATTATTATTTACTAAACCCCAGTTATGAATTTTATTCATGCCTATATAGTGGCCGATATAAAATATATTATGATGTATGACATGTTCCTATAGAAACGTGTTTTATCCTCCGCACATTTTGCATTCGTGTTTAATGTGTAATGTGTATGATGTGGCGATTCTGAGTAGGTACTAAATAAATTACCGGATGAAAATGCCCAAGTTTAGCATAATTAGGAGACATAGGCGGGTCTGTAATGTACGGTAATGCATATTTTTATACAAGCAAATAGCAAATGAGAAAATGGTATATTGCCACGATCATTCATCATTTGCATGTCAAACGCACATAATATATTTATGCACAGTACAAAATATATGGGTGTGGACTAATAGGTGCGTTAAATTATACTATAATTAAGTGACACGTTGTAGTTATATATCGTTTATTTAGTTCATATAATAAAACCAATTTTAAACGTAATTCCAACTTTAAATTCATATGTGTTTTACACTTTTATGTGAACAATTAATGTTGAAAGTAAAATTTTAAACATAATTAAAACACATCATATTTTAATATACAGATTAAAAATTTAAATCTTAGGAACTAAATATTTTAAAATGTAGGTACACAAAAAAACAACAATTTTATTATTTTTGAAATTTATTAAGACTAAGGGCCGTATTCATAGTCGATGCTTAATAAGAAGTATTGCTTAAGCTATACTTATAAGTTATGACTCAAATGAGATTCAGTAAAAGTATTACTTAAATTAAGGTTGGTCGAGACCTAGGTACCTTAAGCATTGCTTTTAGTTATTATCACATATTCTTATTTTTTAAATTATTCAAACTATCTTATAAGTTATATTATTAAATACCTATACCTATATTGAGCATTGACTATGAATACGGCCCTAAAAATAGTTCAAGTCGATCACTTGCTTTGGCGTTTACAAAATGCTAGGAACCACAAAAATAATTCAAAGAAATTTGAAATTCCTGTTATTATATTTATTTTTTTATTTTATGTTATTGACGATGAAAAATATATTTACTTTTGGAGTAAGTACATACAGGAGGTACTCAAAATTATAATATATCATTAAATAAAAATCATTACTATATACATATTATAACACTCCTGTTAAAATACGTCTAAAACATAAGACGATGATTACTGTCAAAATAGTATTTACTGAGCATATTTATAAACTTTGGCCACACCATTTTAACATTTTATGTCTTTGCTTTGGCACATAGAATCGAAAAACGTTAAGTTATTTATTATTTGTTTATAAGTGGTTGCTATGGGTTTTAAAACTATTATAATAATAATTATTGGTTGCCGTGAAATCAGTGTATTAAAAATCGAAAAACGTTACGTTATGAAAAAAAAATGAAAAATATCATTTTTCTCATCCGAGATTCAAACTCGATATACGCGCTTATCACACGATAGTTAGGTGAGACTGCATTAATATTAGAATATTATTAGAATATTACCTAGGTATGTGCTACATATGATAGCAAGGACAACAAATAGTAAATACATAAAATGTGGTACTTCATTGCAGACTCGTATGCAATATGATTTTATATAATGAACTTCATATAACAGAACTTCCAAGGAGTAATTTCATCCAATTTTGTTTGAAGCGTTCATTTTATTTATTGTTTAACCTTACTCATTGCCTTTAAGACCTAAGTAATTATTAATATAATAGAAAACACAAAATAATACACATCAATGAAATATAGTATTAGCATTCTAGTCTGATAATTTTAATAATACTTAGTTTGCAATGATACGTATAAAGTATGGTTAATTAAATAATTTGATCACGAATTATCATAAAACGCATTCCAGTAATTGCATTTAGATGTGAGTAATTTATTTAATTAACCAGGAAGGTAACTGTACACTTTAACTAGGTATACAAAATATAATCTGTAGAATAAAAAAAAAAAATTAAACACATTCAAATAAACCTAACGGTCTAATTCACACATAAATAAATTACTAATTTAGTTAATATCTAAAATTGAAACCTGAACATATAAAATTACCTATAATGAATAAATCTTCTTTTAGTATTTAGTATTTACTCGTATTCGAGAGCTTATAGCCGCTTAGGTCATACATTTTATGATTATTAGTTAATAGTTGTATGCGTTATAATAGTGCCAAAAATTAATGAAAAAACAAATAGGTAGCTTATAAACTAAATGTTCTTACGCAAAGCATAAATAATAAACATACATGAATAGGATTACGAAATATCGTAATTATATAAATATATAATTACTATTTAATACTTGTCGGTCGTAATTTTTTCTTATTATATTGTGCAATTTATACAATTCTTTGTAAAGTGAAGTCTATAGTTTTATAATTTTCTTACATACTATTAAACAATTTTTTTACACAATAATCAAAGGTACCTACACTGAATATTATTATAAAACTATTTACCTATATAAGATGATTTGTCGTTTTTATGTGTAATAACAGCTCGACTGGCCATTTCCACGCCTATGATTTATATTAAAATTCGAATGAATATACCTGTGTTATGTATAATATGATATTCACGTGTCATACATATGCAATGCCATTTGAGCTTAAAATCACAACCATTATGCAGTAGAAGCTGCGTACGGGTTCGTGGAGAAAACGAAAACGGTATGTTTATGACATGAATAAAACGTATGCTTAAGGTGTGGGTTTTCTACGCACCATATCAACCGCGAAATTATAACCATCAGATTACGAATAATCCCACGTTCCTGACAAATTCAAAGAGCTGCACGCAGAAAACTGGCTAATTTATATCGAGGCCAATAGGACCTAGAAGATTTGTTTTAAAAATAGAAGTAGAACCAAACACCTTTTTGGATCAATAAGCTACGTTCAGCGTGTAGGCGGCGTGTGTTAAGCCACGATAATAATATATATGCCTAAGTATATAAAATATATACTAGCTAACGTTATTTGAGGAACTTTTTTCTAAGTATTACATTTGGAACAATCCCAAAGTTTTTGTAAAATTAAAAAAAAAATATTTTTTAAACAAATTTGAGTTAAACGTAAAATTCTAAATAATATGTAAATTATTTTATAAAATATTAATAATATTATGGCCACCACTTTGGTATGAATACTTTAATTTATAATTTTAGTCGAGGTTGCCTAGTATATTATACCTGTATAAATAATTAACCTATTTACCTATACATCAATTAAAATAATATCGGTTATTATAGATGTTGTTCAAGTTAAAGACAATCACCGGCAGTAACTCGTTTTAATATAAAAGTGTCTACTAAATTGGTAGTACCATTGATTATATATAGTAAATACTATAGTATGTACTAAAATGAAAAAATATAAGAACAGATATTGATTTGCAGGATAGAACATGTGGAATACCAAATAGTGTTTTATAAATCTCTAACGGTATTTCGATTCGTTTTTATTCGACGCACAAAGTGATTTATAATTAATATAATAGTAATAATTCATATAATATACATATTATTAGTACGCATTATACATAATCGTTTGGATTGTATCATTTTTGTATAGTTTTATTTTCTCTTCAAACCTGCACACATATTTTAATTTGTTCATTTTAGATTCAAATTATACATGATATCTTACAAAGAAATAATATAAAACAATGAATGATTTTTTACAATAAACAATATTTTTAGAGCAGTAAAACCTTATAGGCATGCACTACCGTCCCAAAACATTTTTTATGCTTAGTTTAGAATTTAGATATACTTATAACTTATAAGTGAGGTATAAAATGGTATTAGGTATAATGGTATAAAAAGTATCATGAAAACAAAATGGGAATTTCATGTTTCAATCATAAATAAGATAAATAATTTAAGATTATAAATAGGTACAAATAAATTGTGAATTATATATGGCACACATAAATATATTATACATTTTTAATACAATTGAATTTAGTATTTTAAAAACCTTGACTAATGTTCGATTTACAAAACTGACTATAAGTCAAAAGTAAAAAACGCTAATGTTTGAAAGTAAGTGAAGTGTGAGATAAATGCTCTTCATAGAAATCGCCAATCACTAATCGTTTTTACAACGATGTGTTTAACTTATTTTTATTTATAATAGTACAAAGAAAGTTAAAAAAAAATGCACATAACTACCTAGTACCTATATCTTCCAATAGGAAATTGAACCTAGAAAGTACTTAAGCCATGGGATTTTAACATGTTCTCATTAATATAGTTGTCTAACTATAGTTTTAATTATCGTAAGGAAGCAAATTTAGGCACTGTCGAATAGTATATAGTGTCGAATTATCTAATAGTCCACTACATCCAATCTATTCGGTGGTATTTTAAATATTCTAATCATTGAATTTTTCAATATTTTTAAACCATTCGAGTAGAAAATATTCAGTTTAATCGAATGAAAAATATTCTAATCACGAATACGTAGCTAACTATTCTATATATAGTGATCATCATTCATCACTAAAAAAAAGTAAGAAATGTACTACATACTCTCTCATAGTAAAGTTGGATAATGATAATTTATGAAAACTACAATGCATGTAATTCAACAATATAAATATCAGAATAAATAATATATAATAATTTTACAAACCGTTCATTTTCATTTTTAATTGTTATTAAGGTAAACGCACTTAAAATTATTACAAGCTTTCCCGATATAAACGAAACTCAATGAACTAAACAACTCGCATTCAGAACACCAACTGGTTGTTAAAAAAAGACATCCGGACCAAATCGAGATCATCCTACACAGAATTGAATTTTTTACAATGATAATATAGTAATATTAAAAAGGGAGGAGTCCGTGGGCGTCAAGGTATTTTGCCAAAGGTGTTGCATTTTTGCAGACACTCATAATAGCTAAGA